AAAATTCACGATTTGTAGAGTCTGAGAGCATTTAGTATTAATTGTAGAATTCTGTTTTAGACTCAGCAATTTTAAAAAAGAAAAAGTGACAGTAAACCATAGGTTTTCCACCTGAATAGAGGTGTTATTCGTATTTGAGTGCTTTTAATAGCTTTGCACTTCTCCTCATCCCTCTAAGAAATTTTTAAAGTTTCATATGTTACTCCAAAAAAAAGTTAGTACAGCAAGAGTATTTGAGGCTCAGTAGCGACTATATTCATCAGTTATCTATTTGAATAGCAGTCAGAGTAAATCGATCCTGAACACGCACAACCTCTCTATTCACTAACGTATACTTTTTATGTAGATAAGTAATTAATTTTTTTATTAATTAATTAATTTTTGTATATATTATATCTTTCAATAATTTTTTAAATAATTTTAATCTATTTAACTAATGTGGTATTTTTTGAAACTTTGAGGTCGTTGAACTGAATAAAGACGAGAAAGTTAATAAAATGACGGAGTTAACAAAAATATATTATTTTTACATGCCGAAATAATTCGGCTTTATTCAAGATACCACTATAAATTATTTTTTAATTAATTATTAATGTTTCATATATAAAATCCCAAATCATTTTTATTGTTTACAAAAGTGGTAATTTTTCAATCCAAAGCTATAATTTTTCAAATGAAGTAGTTCTTTTGTTTAAAAACAATTAAAAAACAAAATAAAATTTTGTTATAACTTTTATATCATTAATTAGTTAAAGCTTTTATATTATTAATTAGTTAAAGCTTGAAAAAAACTGTATAAATTTTTCCAAAATTTTTTATAATTTTTTAGGTTAACGAAAAAATGCATCAGACGTGAGTGACTTCTATTCATTGTTAAGGTGGCGTTTATATTTATTTACCATAAGAGTTAGTAAATACTTTATATTAACAATATAATATTTCGTATCACAAAGAAAAATGTCTCGCAAAATATTTGTTCCATAAAAAATGCGCATTACGCACATTTTTCTATTTCTAATAAAAGAAATACTTTAATGTGTGTATGTGTCCGTGTGTGTGCAAAAGTTCTTTCAAGCAGTTGAAAATCCGCCACCCTTAGGCAATTGTCCATTCGCGATCCCCGTTACTGCGACGCGTACTATGAAGTTTCTTTCTATTGCGAGCAAACACATGCAGGACTCGCCGGCGACAGTTTAAAACGAAAGTGTATCGAAGTCACGTGCGGCCCTTCGGGGTGGGTGCGTGTCACGCGCGTTTGCGCTTCCACTTTTGCGACGTTCGTCCCGTTCCGGGGTCGCACCCTCTCAAGCACGCACTTCTAAATAGCGGCTCGTCGCGCTCTGTCCGATCACGTCCTGACTGTCAGCGCAAAGCAAAGGGGATTAGTGTTTCAATTATTTGCACAATAAGGAGCGACCGATCGGCGCGCGACGGCCGACCAGCGATATATCGAGTGGCGGAGTCGCGTGACCGTGTTTATTCACCGTCGAAACCCCGACGATTGGTCCTTTGAACGTTTCTCTCCGTTGCCGCTTCACTCTTGAACAGGCACGCCGCATCGGTAATCCGACCGTGCAGCGGTAAGACACTCCTCTAACTTATCGGCTCTCACCTGCGCCAAGTGACGGGTAACCCGGTTACCAGGTGCGCCTCACTGCGACAGCGCGAGGAATCACTCCGTTATTTTATTTTTTTCTACTTTGTACGACTGTTGATTTTTCGACACACTGTAAGAATCTTAAATCAAGAACATTAACGTTTACATAAATCTTTTCGTCCACCAGAGATGTCTTCTTATTCCGTGATATATTTTTGGTATAAAATTATATATGCTTTGGCTCGACACGATGCCTAATTTCTTCTACAGCGACCAAAACATCTCTTGTAACATTAGGATGTCCGATGAAGTCATTTTCACTCATTTAAGATCTTCTTATTGTCTTTTCATTTCTGTTTCTCGTGGTTTAAGAAAAAAATATTTCATGATGTTTCAAAGCAGAACACGTTGAAAGACTATTCGACGATATTATGATGAATTGTTTAATGATTTACCTTAAATGTCAAAAAGAATCACATTTTGACTTTTTATTTAATTGTCAATGTGTTATAAGAACGATATAAAACTAATATTTGAAATTTTCATTTCTTTATCCCACTTAAACTTATACTCTTTAGTATGTGTCCAGATTCATCAATTCTTTGAAGAAAAATAGGTTAATGTTATAGAGAGTAACAAAGTAATAATTATGATGCACCTTAGGATTATAAGTCTGGGAAAATTATAAGAATTGTAATTTGTTTATGATATAAAATGTCTATATTTTGCAAATTATTTTCTTAGTCTGTTTAGAAGTCATCATTGATATGACTGATGAAAGAAGAACTGAGAAACTTTTAAAATATTGGAATCACACAAGGAATCAAAATGACTCTTTCGAGCACGCAAAGGGACTTGCCGGGCACCCTAGTGTTAAAATCAAGAGAATACGTTAGCTGTGATTCCGGTAATAAGCGCTGCGTCTTGTTAGCGATCGTCAGTGTAGGTGTCGCGATATCGAGACATGGAGGGACGTGCCTGGAGAAAAGAAAATTGCCCAGCACTCAAGGACGTTCAGTGCTCCCGTGACAAAACGTCGGAGCACTTCGCGAGTCCTCTCTCTGGCGCCAGGATAATGAAGAACCAGTCAATGTCGCCGCGCAGCTATCAATCCAGTCGCTTAAAAGTATTTGAGCTCTTCGGGTCCGTCTCGAACGCCGCGGGCGATCGCCACATTCAACGGGCACAGCGGAATTAAGATCAGCTTAGAGACGTCGACTCTGTTGTAAATAAGCGGAATAGATCATACCTCGACGCTCGTCGAATTTATAGCTTCGTCAGGACGAAGCCGCTCGTGTATCTAAATTCGCGGCTTTTAATATTTACGAGCGCCCTCGCTCAGCTCTTTGGGAATGCTAGTCGATTTGATTGTGATCAACGATTTATGTTTCAAAAGGAAAACATTATATTCTTTGTAGCTTAACGTCTTTCTTTCTTCCCCTCGCGAGCAGTCCGGCAAGTAACCGCGACGAAAAATAACTGCGAAGGACGTTGAACCGCTGTCGATATATATTTCCTACTGGAAGCACGCTGCCAAGTCGCTGTTATTAATGTCGTCCCGCCCTCTGGTCCGGCTTCGACACTGATCACAGTGTTATTATTTCGTGATTTACAAGCAAAACGGGAAGTATCATTAGCGCGATTATTAGGTCTTAAAAAGAAGACAAAGGACCATCGTAAAGCTCGCGAGGGGAGCGGGGCGATTTTTATCAATTTCCCATCGACTTAATTGAACGTTGCCGCGTCCAAGAAGCCGCCCATTTAAATTTAGCCGCGATCTCTCGCTCGTGCAGCACAGGCGTGACACAAGACGCTGCATTATCTCTCCGACAGCTTCAAAGTAGCCTTTTTGAAAGTAAAGAAATCTTCGGCAGAAATCTTCTCACCAGCGGCCGTATCGTGATCAAGGATGGATAAATGTCAAATTCAGATTCTGTTGTTTTCTTTCTGAAATTCTGATATTTATATGACAAACATATGACCAGATAAAATCCATTATCTGCGAATAATCCACAGATAACGGATATTCGTAGATGGCAAATACTCGCGGATGTTTGCGGATAATGGATAAACTACTCTCTTAAAGTGAATCAGTGAATAGTCACTGATATCAGTTATAAATATAGCACTGAGCACTTTCAGTGCAACACTTATAACTGCAAATCAGTTATAATGTTATGTATGTTCACTGTTTTCAGTGATGTTTCACTGATTCATTTTAAGAGAGTAAGAATAACTTTTTTCTTAAATCTGGGGGATCGGTCAGAGTGATCGAGTGATCATAAAGCAGGACTTGGCATGCTGTCTCAATATGTGGAAGCTAAAATTTAGATTGAAATTTATCCTTTATTGAAGGAAGTACACTGTTTCTACTTTACAAGAAACTTTAAAGTAATAGCTGCGATCTTCATTAGACGCTACAAATGCTTTGAAGCGCCATATGGACCAATTATGGCTTCTCTAAGCGCTTGCAAAATAGAGAAACGACTCTTCCATGGACCTAGTTATTATTATTATATATACATGGTTTCATTAAAGTATTTAAATTATTTAAATAAATTTATAATGCAGCAGAATTGTTTCTCCATTTCGCGAGCAATTCGTATTACTCTAAACTTTTATATAAAGTAGAAACAATAACACTGAAACAAATTATTCGATAAGAGATTAATAAACAGATATTTCCGATCCAAATACCGACGAATTTTTGTATCCGATTAGGAACATACAATGAGAAATATCGATTCATAATTTTTTCAGCAGATAAACCGATCACAAAATTATAAACCGATATTTCTCATCGAATATTTTTTTATCAGATACAAAAATTCATCGGTGTTTTAATCGAAAATATCCGCTTGTTAACTTTTTATCAGATTTCTCTCAGTGTACAGCCCGGATTATCGAATATCCAGAAATACGGCTTTTCTCATTTTTAATCGCAATTTCTAGAACAACGCTACATATTACGAAAATCCCTGTCAATTCTCTCGAGAATTGCATCAACGGGCAATCGTCGCCTCTTTCACTCGTCACCCCGGCCAAAGGAGGAAGTTTCACGGTCGTTGTGCGCCGTTCCACCGCGGTTCAGTTCCGTCGTAATTTGACACGTATTACCCCTCGGGCCACCGAGGGTGTAATCGGGTTCCTCGCCTATTCTGCGAGGACGGGCATTACGCTCGGCAAATGTATGTAAATGGACGCCTGAGAACCCTTCTTAAGTTCGTACGTACACGTATCAGCGATAATCAATGACCCCCTATTTTCGCGATCTGATCGCTTCATATCCATGACAAACGCATTATCGATTTGCCTTCCGGGTAATAACGGGGATCCATAAATCGCCCCCTCACGTCACCGAGTGAACCGCTCGTTTTGTCCGGCAATAAAATAAGCGACGCGCTACTTTTCATGGTAATGGATTTATTACAAAGTTGCTGTTGAAAAATGGCGATGGCTGCACAGCGCTATACATAATATTTTAATAGTGAATATTAATCTAGGATGCATGCCTTACACGCGAGAATTCTTAGAGATATCGTCCGTAACATGCCGGAACGCTTTAGATGTGTGTACATATTGGTAGAATAAAATAATCGAGGCGTTACTTAGAGTCTACGAACATGAGCAATACACGAGGGATATCCGTATACACAGGGTGTTCGCGGATCTGACGTTATTGCGTGTCATCTGCAGAGGCACAGAAAGAAAAGATTTCTCTGCCGCAGCTAATCATAGTTTGCTGAAAATGTATTCGTTGCTGCGACTAAAAACAATTTACTGCTATACACTGCAAATCCAAGTGTGCTGTTTGGACTAAATCTCTATTTACACGTTTAAACGTGTTAAATTTTAATTTGCATGTGTCTTAAACGCGTCAAATCACCTGATTTAGAAATACAAGAAACGTTTAAAAAGATCTTTAATCAAAAACGCTTATACGTTTAAAATTAATACCTGGATTTGCAGTGTACAGTGACATTTTTGTTACTGTTGCTTTTGCTACTGTTACTACATCGATTTTGTAGTTAAATATATGCCTGCTGACAGCTGCACTTTTAGGTAGCCATATGTTAACAACGAGATTCAGCTACCACACACGGATTCTTGCGGCCGCAGCTAATTCCTTTTTCCTGTAGGCTCGTCGATCGAACGAGCGTCGGCTTCTTCGTTGGAGATTTCTTGCGGATCGTACGAGCAGCGCGGTGTGCGATTCCGGAACAGCCCGTGCGTGCTTCTCGCGAGTCTCGCGGTGTACCGTCCACTCGCGACTTAAGATAAGTATGGCTCGCTCGATATTGCATGGCGAGAGGAACTATCTCGAAGGACTGAGGTAATGAGAGAGAATGAGCTAGGTAAACGCTAAATAAAACAATCGACGAGCCACGGAGAGCAGCCTTCTCGCTGATTGAGATACTTCCTTGACGCGGAACAGCCTTAGGATCTAGGGAACTTAGATCTAGGAGACGCGCAAACACGCTGCCGCGACAAGTCGGCCCGTCCATCGCAGCTGCGGGGCCCGCGGGGATGATTGCACCCGACCTCGAGAATAAGGCCCTGGCGGCTGCAACTTCCTCTCCTACCTCTTCATCGCAGAAGCGTGGTCGCGATAAAAGCATACGAAGGAGACTTTCAGTCAATCATTTCAGAGGCTGTTAACGCTAGAATTCTCGGGCACGCTCTAATGTTAGCGACATCATTGTCAGTATGGGTTAGATCGAGATGTAACGGATAAGATAGCGTGAAAATTTGCGGGACATTTGATGGTAGAGTACTGTTATTGAGTAATAAATTATATCCAATTTTTACACAAAGAGTTTGGTGTGAAAAATTTATATAAGCAATATGAATAAATGATTGGAAATACTATTCCACTTAAAACTGCAGATTTTTCTGCGATATTCAACAAAACGGTCGTCAAAAAAAAATATATATATACAAATTTTTATGGGGGGACAAAAGTCTTTTTTTATTTTTGAAACAAAAACAAACCTAACCTGTATCATTGTGATCTTAATTTATTTTTTTAAGAAACGTACATCTTTTGATGACATATGCCACATAAAACAGGTTATGTTAGGTTAGATTAGGTTAGGTGAAGATAGGTTTTGTTAGGTTATTTAAAAAAATTTTTTTTACCTTTCTATAAAAGTTATATATATATATATTTTTTTTTTACTACTTTTATTGATTGAAGTTGTTGGGTTAGATTTTTTCCTAAAAAAAGAACTTTAGCTCCTTCCTTCTTATAAATAACTTGTATACATAAATCTTTACGGGTTGTTTTGTTGATTACCACAAAAGAAACTGCGGCTTTAAGCGAAGCAGTTTGTTCCACGAACAATTGCTAAGAAATACAATAAATAATATGGAATTAAATTGGAGACTTTCTTCAAGCTCTTTAATGCGCGATGAGGAGTTTGTCCGAATGTTGTAGCGTTAACTTTCGCGGAATGGCGCGAGTGATTCGTTAAATCCCCTTCGGCGGATTAAATTAATCCTTATCGACACAGGTTTGTTGCCTGGTAGTATTTTTCTAATATACAAATAGAGTTTGCTCTCGATTTCCATGCGAGATCGCATCGTATCGATCGGTCGACAATCCTCGACGTTTCGCTTCGCTGTTTAAATAAAAGGATCGACATGGAGATGGTCGGTTTTGCGGAAGGACGTCATGGAATATTTTCGGGTTGTAAAACGAGTCCTTTTACGGAACGCGCTGGGCATGTTAAGGAGTAAGAGCCGTTGCCTCGGCCAAAATATTTTGTCGGGTCCGCGCCTGCGTAACGATTGGCGTAACGATTGGCGTCCGAGATTTTCTTACCGGAGATCAAAGATCAGAGATCAGAGATCGAGGGTCCGGCGCGAGTATATATCCTCAACGAATGCACAAAGGCGCACGGGATTCTCGTTATTTGAGATATACAGTTACGAAGACACGTATCGATATGTGCGCTTGAAATCGATCTCGAATTACGATCACGGCGAGATTGCATCAGGATTAGACGTTTCGTCCTTTTTCGTTTCGTCTTTTGCACATTTAATCTCAATAGTCCGCGCTATTTCTGATATTCATCTCATAGTTATGATATATATAATTAAACAACGTTATTGTAAATTTATTATTATGTTTTTCACCCTTTGAGGCCTAAGCCACTTTTTTCTTCATAAATTTCTGTAAAAGACGTTCTCGATGAAAAGTTTTGCGACACAAATAAAGTTGATTGTTGGGGGAAGCGATTTGCTGAATGTACATAATTATTTACATTCATCTCGTCAATTATTCAATTTGGGAATCCCACCAAATAGCCGCGATTAGACTCCTAGAGGCCGTATTCTCTTCACTTTACATTTTTTCTAAGAAAGTATGTACATACCTAATATTTATATTCATGTCTGTGCTATAAAATTTAATAAATTTTATAGGCATGATAATAAACATAAAAACGCTAACTTTATACTTTGAGATGATTTGAATAAAAAATTGAGAAAAGAAAATTTGCTTATACTTCTCGCAATTTCGAATGTCATCGATTCTGCTCTGCCCACGACCGCATATATTGGTTTCATCAGCGAGGAAATCACGGTTTCATTGGTCGGAGCAAAGAATATAGCTCTACCTAGGGTGGCTCGATAGTATTGTATCGACAGAATCATTATTCCGCCAATATAAAAAATTTGGGCAGGACCCAAGGTGAATGTACATAATTACGTAAAAGAGGCCTTAAAGGGGTGCGTACGTATCATCGTTCGCGGTTTCACGTGGAATAAAGTGTGAAACTTGCAGAAAAAGATCCGACACTCCTAATATCGTAGCTGGAAATCGCCTAAGCCGGGTGTGTGTCGTCAGCTACGTGCAATCTCTCACGCACCAGAATGCCGAAAGTTCCGTTCTTGCATCGAGAGTCTTGCGAGTAGTGGCCTATAAGAAAAATACTCGACAGCTACACTTCGATCGGTTGCCACAATCGTCAAAGGCCATCGAGCAGTTACTGCACACAAAAGTTCGTACTTTCGCCGGCCAAAGAGTAACTTTCATCTGTCAGTTTCGCAATGACTGAGCATCGATTTGACTTTCGTGCGTCGGTCCCGGCCGACCTTTCGGTCCACCTTCGGATCGAGAACAACGGGTCGTCTCTTGCTCGGACACGCGGGCTTCCTTAGATCCTAAATGTCGTCCTTAAAATTAATTGTTGAGGCAGTTGAGTTGGCAAGAACAAAAGAATCAGTCATGTTCGTCTCGTCGACGATGGCCGCTGCGCCGCCACGAAGAAGCCCATGGCTTGCCGACTTGCCGTCGTCGTCAGCCTCCCTGCGATCTGTTCATCCCGAAGGAAGCAAGGACGCCCCTCTCGTCGCGTTAACGTCCGCCACTTCTGACGTCACCTGACTTTCATCAGTCCAGAAGGTCATTCAGGTGAAGGTGTCATGAGGTGGATCCGCGGCGACAGCAGATTCCCGAGATACTCTCGATTGCCGGCCGGTACATCTATCACTCCTCTGACTTCCAGTATCGCGAGCTCAGCTACCGCGGGAGACACACAGACGAGAGAATCGGCCCACCAGTGGTCACTAGTAATCGTTCGCGGGGCTTTGCGACGACTCGTCGGTTCGTCCTCCTTCGTGATCCTCCTCCGGCGCTTACAGAGAGAGGAACTTCTTCAGGGCGTCGTAAATAAGCTGTGGGTCGATGGTACCGTCCGCGGTGTACCGGACGCCGCGCAACGAGCCGTCGTCGTGACTGACAACGCCGTATTCGCCCACGATGAAGCCGTCAGGCGTTCTCTCCTCGACCCGATATTTCCTGAAGTTCCTGCCTTCGACCACATAACCGACCTTGTGACCGTCCTCGGCCTCAGACGTGACTGGGATCTCCGTGACGACCAACTGCGGGCCGTGGACGTTGCCGTTGCTGCCGACGCTGACCGACTCGTCGACCTCGTAGTTCTGCTCGTCGGGCTCGCCGCTTCGCTGGCGATCCACCGGTTGGCCCTCGGAGTCGTACACCTTACTGGGCTCGCCGTACACCTTAGCCGGCTGCGAGTAGATTTTGGCAGGCTCGGAGTACACCTTCGCCGGCTCCGAGTAGACCTTGGACGGCTCGGAGTAAACCTTCTCCGGCTCGCCATAGATCTTGGCGGGCTCGCTGTAAACTTTCGCGGGCTCGCTGTAGACCTTGGCCGGCTCGCTGTAGATTTTGGCGGGCTCGCTGTAGACCTTAGCTGGTTCTCCGTAGACTCGTTCAGGCTCGCCGTATACCTTAGCCGGTTCGCTGTATACCTTGGCGGGCTCGTTGTACGTCCGCGTTGGCTTGTACGCCTTCGACGGTTGACTATAGACCTTTGGACCCGATCGATTGTAGATCGGCGCGTCGTAGTGGCGGCCCGCCTTGCGGTTCTGCGACTGGAACCGCTCCGATGACATCTCCGGCGGCTCCTCGTTCAGCTCCCGAGGCTCCGAGTTCTCCACGGGTAGCTCATAATTTTCCTCCGTCGGGAGGGTGATGGCGTCTTCGTCGATAGTGCGGGTGGCTTCGTTCAGCTCCTCGTCCCGTCGGCTCTCCGCGAATGCGGGGGTCTGTTGAATTTGTGGCGCCATGGTGACGCGACCGCGCCAGCTCGTCCTCGGCGAATCCTCGTCCACGGAGAACTCACTGCTGTTGGACTCTGAGACGATGTTGCTGAGCTCCTCCGTGACGAATCGAGCCGGCGAGGGCGTAGTCATCAGCGTCGTGCTCGTCGTTGTCGTCGTCGTCGTCGTCGTTGTGGTCGTCGTGGACGGTGACGCTGACAACAGCTTAGCGTTGGTTCCCCTCAGTGTGCTTCTGATTGATGAGTCTCTGGTGGCTTCTCTGCTCACTGGGGACTCCAAACTCGGCGGTCGCGTCACCACTGCGGCGTCCGCGCTGTCGTAATGCTCGACGCGCACTTTATACGGCGTGGCCTCGACCGTGGATGTGACGCTGACGCCGATCACCTTCTGCCGGCTGACAGCTCTGCCAGTGGCGTTGGATCCGGCGCTGTTGGTGCCATTCGACCTCGAGGTCGTTGGATCTTTCATGGCCAGCGGCGGGCTCGTCGTCGTCGTCGTCGCGCTCGTCGGCGTCAGACGCGTCGATCTTATGCCACCCGGTGTGCTCAGGTCGTCGATTAACGACGCCAGATTCTGTTGCCGGTTCTCCAGCGTCTTCTGACTTATAGGGTAGAAGCGAACGACCTCGTCGCGGCCGTTCGGCGGCCTTGACACCGTCGGAGGTACGTTGGGGTTTCGAGATATCCGATAGATCGATGCCTCGTGCTGGTGCGACTCAGCGGTCGCGCTGTCGCCGTTTGACGCTGCGTGACCACCCCGGCGGAAACCTCGTCGTCGATGCGGGGTCGGCGCCATGGCGCCGTTTATGAAGACCGACAGGAATTCCGTGCCCGCAAGGATGTCGCTCTTTCTTGGTGGAGCGCCGCGCGCCTCCTCCCAGACCAGTGCCGCCTGAAGCAGTACCTAAAACGCACATCGGGTGCCTTATTAATCATGATTTCAGCGAACTCTGATACTATGAGACTTCTCTATTTCATATACTGAGAGAAAAAATGATTGACCTAACTAAAATTATATTTACTTAATTATAGTTCTTGGTTCTTGCTCTAACACGATAACATTCAAACATATTCATATTTAGTAGTTTTCTTCAAATAAATTTCAGAATATATTGTTTGGTTTTTTTATCCGATTGTTCCAACTTCTTGGTAAGTTAACTGATAGTTAAATCATATGTGTGTCTTTATCTAAGTTGAAGGAGAAACAAAAGACAGATATATGATTTAATCATCAATTAACTTACCAAAAAATTGAAACAAGCTCTGAGAAAAGTAATTTACTCCCTTAATAAACACTTTCTATCCGGGGCACAAAATTCAAGCAACTAAGAGGACAAGATGGATGCGTTCTGGAAATCATACAAAAAATAGCAGACAACCTATCTGAACGCAAACTACATTGAATTCAATCTTCAATTCTGGGCAAAAATATTCACACGACGATTCAGAGTGGAGTATTTACCTTATATGAGTATAAAAAGCATTTCAGTGAATTTTCCGACTGTCATTCTATACTTCAAGTGGATTTTTACTTGAGATAATTTAGAGAGTATATGATTTGCGATTGAAGTAAGGTGAATGTGTGAAACGCGCTATGTATACGTAGTGAGTCTCTAAATTGAGCTTTTGATTGTACAATATCGGTGACTGCAATAACGACAAGCTTACTAGACGCTCAATTTACGTAGACTTGCGAAACGAATAAATAATAGCGTGCAAATGAAGTCATGCCCACGGGTTGCCATAAAGTTCAAGCGAAGGGCCAGCGAGCGAGTGGCGCCGTTTATAGGATGTCACATTTTAGTTTCGCACCTTTTGTGCCATCGTTAAATGCGCGCGGAATCAGCGAACAAGCTCGCGGAGTACTTTATCCCTCTCCGCCGAAAGAGCAGGAACAAAACGCGAACACACCGGTTGGTTCGCGCGAATCCGCGCCGAGGGGCGATAAACCGCTTTTATGCATTTCGCGTTCGAGATACACGAAGGACGCGGGCAGGTGTATCGAGCGATTTTTTAAATCGCCGCACCCTGTCGCTCGTAAAGTCCTCGAAAGACATGGCCGTTCTCCCGATGAAAATCTCGAACATTTTTACGCAGACTCGCCGTGAATTTCGCGTCTCGGTTTCGACTCATATTACTTCCTGTGTTTTCTGTGCCTCTCGCACCAGGAACGATGAGAAAGAGAGATCCAACTTGTTCACAAAAAAAAAATGATTTGGTTGATTGAGCAAACCTGTAGCTTGCTGGACAAAATTAAATGTTATAATTAAGTATATCTGCTGATACATCAAAGAAATGATATATGGAAGCAATTGTCGATTTACTCATGGAGCAAAAAGTGTAATGATGTTAGCATGAAGTTTCGTTATAATAAACGAATCAATACATTTTGTCAAGGGAAACGGAATATCTAACTAAATTTGAAGAAAAAGATCTTTCTTCAAGCCAATATTTGTTATATGACAGTAAAATTTAACAATTAAAGCTGTATTAACAAATCTACCGTGCTGTAACATCAAACTTTATTAGGCACAAAAAATCTTATGTAGCTCTGCAACTTTGTTGCTGTTACCACAACAAACTGGCTCTACCCATATATTAGTCCCATGCTATAATAGATGTTTTAAGCCCTAAGCCTTATGCTTTAAACTCTAAATTGTAACGTGTTTCCGGCCTTTTCTCGCTCTGTCTCAAGCTCTAATTCGTAAGCCTTAAGCGAGTTGGCCAACTCCCTTTTAAAGCTTAAGGCTTGATGTTTAGAATCGAGATAATTTCTCTAAAGCATAAGGCTTAGGGCTTAAAACAATCTATTGTAGAATGAGACTTACGGCTACAGATTTGCTGGACTAGCGAGGTTTTCAGTCGTAACAGCAAATCCTTTCTTCCCATGTTCGCGCGATCCACTTAGAATCGCACTTAACAGGGTCTTGAAATTCGCAGCTTGTAACGCTATTTAAAGCTCCGTTCGGCTTTTGACGGAATATCGGGCCAACGTGTTCGATTTATCTGCAACGTCCCGTGACTCTCAGCTCCGCGGCTGAATTACGCGTTGCCCAAAGAAGGCAGATACTTACCGTCCGTCCAGACTTTTAGCCGCTAGCTTATCGATCGCGTTCTTAATCGATTTCCAATGATTGCCCGCCGCGGCTCCTGTACGCATATAATAAGATACACGGCCATCTCGACTGTAATAAGATACCTCGGATGCTCGAGTTCCTTGTAACCGCGACCTTGACGAATCGCTGGTAAGGGAGCCAACGTCACGAATACGATATTTATGAGCAAGCGGACGGTCTATTGGGATCTTCGTTCTTCTCTCGTGTAAGGTGGGCAAGGTTATCGTCCAAACGCAGCGGCTCTACGTCTAATAATGCCGGAACCATTACGCGCTCGGGTTTACATTTGCAAACAATGGGGAGCGTCGCTCCGATCGACGATCACAGGTGGTAAAGTCGCGCGGGGTAAGGTAAGGGTGTATGAATGCCTGGACACTAATAACACTGGTGCTACTAGCTCTGGACATTCTTATTGTTTTGTTTTTAGAATACAAACATTCAACCAACGTAGCTTCCAACGTGGAAGCAATATATGTTTACAGAGTTGATTAACGACAGCATATAAAACTCTCGTGTATATACGTGGAAATTAGAAAAATCAAACTGAAGAAATCCTTCCTAATTAAAAATTTCCTAAAACAATAATCGTAAACAATAATCCGTAAACAAAATTTCCGTAAACAATAATCGCGTGTGATAATGCACCAATGCTCTTTCATTAATAATTAAAAATCTAGGTGATTATTTGCAAAATGGTAAAGGATCTTTTTGACCTAATATACAAGCACACAACAAATCGTACTTACTCTGCCATATTCTGCACCGTATCTCGTGTGATCATTTTACTCAATCTTTTTTTAATTAATAGCTCAAAATTTTAGGTGATTGTTCTTACAAAATGATAGAGAAATTTTTTGTTCAATCTGACCTAATCTATACGTTTCAGTTGGACCTAATCTACATGTACATTATCGTTAGACACTCTGTATGTTCAATATACACTAAGAAAAAAATATATGAAAATTTATTCGGGGGTATATATTTTGTTTCTAAGAAACGAAACTTATTTCTATGAAATAAATATTATCTCGCAAATAAATCTTCTAAAGTATTTTTTTCTCAGTATATGTATATATATATTTTTTTTTTTTTACTTTGAAATTTAAAATATTCGTATCTAAAGACTGAAACGACAAGAAAATCCAAAGCCGAGTGTTAATGTTGTTAGTGTCCAGACATTGGTATTTTTACCTTACGCATGCGACTTGAGAACCTCGCGATACAACCGCAAAAGGGGGTCGATGATCGACGTTCCCGCAGAGTGCGAGAATAGTTAATGTATATATATTAAGCGCGAAAAATGACGTTTCATTATCCGTATACATTCTTGCCGCGGTCACGCCGCGGTTGAAGAATTCCGTGACTATTTGCACATCGGTGTCGCGGACCTTGAAGCAATTTCAGTGAGTTTTCCTCGTCACCAATGGTACTTGCGCCTGAAACGTATATACGTATATACAGAGGCAATTTATATTCACATGTCCTGATTATAGTCATCACCGATGGAGGCTACGTGACTCCGATCGTGCGAACCTGAGCGATGGGTTCCGCTCCGACAACAACGCACGGTCTCAGCCGCGGAAACGCGGCGTAGTGGCGTTCGTGACATTTCAGGCTGAGGATGAAAGAGGAGAGGAAGAAGCGAACGGTCGTGGCGCGTTCGCTCGTGATCGCCGTGAAAAATTGATCTTCAACGTCTGCGGGCGGTGCGCCGACAAAGCTCGCGAAGAGAGAAAAGTCTGAAGCGCCGCACGAGAGGACGGTCCTCGAGCGCTGTGGGATACGACGCAAGGAATGGGCCTCTCTCGATCAGTGTTGCCAAATCAAAACTATGTTTTTTACTTTCAAACATAAAGTTACCAAATCTCCCCATATCTCTGATAATACTTTATCAAATTGATATAATTTTTCACCAACTGTCCTGTATTTCAAATTTTTAATTTAATAAATCTTGAATGTGCTTAAATAATTCTCTTAAATCTTGAATGAATCTTAAATGAATAAATCTTCATGTTTCTTTTCTTTCAGAAACGATCAAGTTTTACTGATTATCACAAAACGGAAAATAAAACAATTAATATTTATAAATATTGCTTTATTTATATAAATATATAAATATTATATTGGTATAACTATATTTTAAAAAATAAAATGTAATGCAAAATAAAAAGGAAATATAATAGCTACATTTATACACAACAGTTATGCGACCATTGAGTAAAAATCCTCTTTGATTGATCTATACTTTTGGATCTATCAATTATATCTATCTTCCAAAGATCGTTCACATAAATTTTGTGCTCTCTAATGGATTAATCAGAGTCTATTATTCTCCTCACATTCGACTGGTTGAATGGTCAATTTTTTACAGTATAAGTTTATCATATCTATTGTAAACTTGGCCTTATAAGCTCTCTAAATTCATCAGATTTTGCTCTAATCAACTTTCAGAATAAAACAAAAATTACCAAAACTGATGAAATTTCAGGGTTGGCAACTCTGCTCTCGACTTCGCGATCGTAACCAGTCGCAACTTTGTGAGCGTTTTAAAGCGAGTTCGACGGTTGTCCCGATGGCAATTAACCGTGCGTGCTTCTCACGTGCCGACGAGTCCGCGTCCCGCAGATAGCGACCGCTGGTGCGCGAACATAAACGCCTAATTTATCCCTTATTACGCGATTGCGACATACGCCGCCGAGAGAAAGGATACGCATGGGCGCCGCACGGGGCGTCTAAGGGGATGCATCGTTCCATATCTTTGTGGAAGAAGTAGAAAATATAATGAAGA